GGGAAAAGAGAGGGATAGAAAAGACAAGGAGAGAAAGAGAAGTAGGGGATGAGACAGATAAGGGAGGGTGAAACAGAAGGAGATAAAAGGAAAAAAGATGGCCATAGCCAACATGATTGAGCACAGAGCAATCCTTACTCCACTTCAAAGCCACAATGGGACCCCATGCACTAACATGTGTGTTCAAGTTGTTTTGTCTCCACCTCCGCTGGGTGGTAAGCTCCTCGGGGCAGAGTCCATGTCTCCTTAAGAGGATCATTCAACATTGGATGCTGCCCAAGGAGACCCACCACTGGATGAAGCTCAGGTCTAGATCATGTGATTCAGCAGGGTCCATGCTGCCTGATCCTAACCCAGACAACCCACAGTGCAAGAGTCTCCACTGCATTCTAAGCTGCCAGATACCATTGTGGCTGATTTCAGGTGTCCCAGGGTGCATTACCTGTTCATGGTGCTCAATGCCCATGCTGATGGTGTTTACTAGGATGGCTATCATGATCCCACGGTTGAAGTACTTGCTGTCCACAATCCCCCTTAGTTTGACTCTCACTTCCCGCCACATGTCGCCACAGAGCCTCAGCCATCCGCCCTCTTCCCCCTCCTCTTCCTCCTTCTCCAGTTCTGCAGCACCCTCGCTTCCCCTTCTTCCTTCTCCCTGCTCTTCACCAGCCTCTCCTTCCTCCTGGTCCGAATCAGCACTGTCAAGGATGGAGAGCCTCCGGGCCGCTTCACGCTGCACCCTGTGACATCTGGGGCAGTTGTTGGGGTCAGAAGTCAGTGTCACAGCAATGGGCTGAACGAGGGCATGAGGGGTGTAGTCGAGAGAGTTGTGTTTCCGGCAATGCCCTGGGAAAAGAAATCATTACATTTAAAGGAACAGGGCTCAGTTTTCAATATGGAATACAAATCAGTGCACCAATTGGATGATTAAATAGCAACCAGGCTCCAAAAGTGGAAAGCTGGGCTTTTTAACAGTGAGGGTGATTGAAGACTGGAACAGCTTATCAAGGGAAGTGGTAAATTCATTATCATTTGCAGTCTTTACATTGAGATTGGATACCTCTGTAAAACATACACTCTAGTGCAGCCACAAGTGATTAGGCTCAACAGTATTCACTCACACAGTAGGGAAACATTATTTCCTCTGCTGCATGAATCAGTGGGTGAAATTCTATGGCCTGTGTCACACAGGAGATTGGACAAAACAATCACAGTGATCTCCTCTGACCTTAAAATCAATGAGTGCATATGGAGTACCCAAAGGCAGCCCTGGGCGCCCTGATTTAGAAACCCAATGTGTTGACAGCATTTTAAAGAGATGGAAGAGAGACTTTGAAAATGGCATTTCCTTATCCACTGCACTGTATGAGATTACATTTGTTGGCTTAGTGAGCTATGTTTCTATTCCTTTTTTCTCCTGTTAGCTCTGGAGAGCCAGCACAGCTACGCGAGGATGAGCCAGAGTCCAGTGCGACAACGAATTCCCAGCTGCAGAATCTTTATTACTGGTGAATAGGCACAAAAAGCTGAGCCTGTATGGCTGGCAGTGAGAAATTCTATCTGTTCACTCACAAAGTGAATTCAATTGACATGGAAGTCTTTGAGAGACAATTAACACAGGACCTATAAAGCCATTTTTATTCTCATTCTTCAGACTAGAACGGCCATTTAAATTAGACAATTGTATCTCGAGTCTACTTTTACACATTCAAAAAATGTCTCCCTGGCCCTTCAAAAATTACCCTGTCCCCTCCCCCTAATTCTGCCAATACACCTTAAAACTGTGCACTTCAGCATTCCTTTCTATTCTTGTTCTGGGACATCCCCCACCGCTGTACTGCCAAAATACCTCGATCCTCGTCTGCAGTGTCTCTGTTCCTTAATTTTGGGGTTCCAGAGGCTCTGCTTAAGCAGCTTCATTCCCCTCTCTTCCACTTCCTAGTGCACCTCAACCCAATCTGCAATACCCTCTGCTACTCCAGACCTGGAACTCTTTACAAGTATCTGTTGATACCTCTCAATCCTATCATTCAGCAGCCTCTGGAATGCTAGATCTGGGCTTCCCATGCCATTTGGCCAAGGAACCAAATTTCTGCCAGCAATACAATACCTATTGCTATTCTGGTGCATTGCTTGCCTCCCTCATGCTGCTGTCCAATTCCTACAGCCTAATATTAACTCTGAACTCTGCTTCTGGGACATGTGCCCTTTGCAAGACTGGTACACAGTGAAGTTTCCAGCTGCTATTGCTCTTCCTCTACAGGCATTCCCAGCTTTGCCCGTGCAATACTTACTATAGTGCCTCTGTCCTTTCCCATTCACACCAAGCTTGGCATTGCCTGGTTCCATCCGGCCCTGGCGTCGGTCCTGCAAGCTGTTGTAGAGGCTGAGTGTGCGACGCTTGGCTTTGCGCACAATGTGGCAGACATATTGGAAGATCTCCTCGTAGCAGTCTCCTGGTTCTGTGTAGCTGGCCACGGTGCTGGAAGACAAGTACCGTGCCCGCTGTTCCTGCATCAGCTGGTGCTCCCGCTGCTTGGTTTCAGAGAATTGAGTAGCTATGACCACCAGGCACAGGTTGATCATGAAGAAAGAGCCCACCTACAACCGATAGAGGAAGAGGGGAAGAGTGAGAGCGGGAGGGAGAGAAACAGTGGGGGGACAAAGAGAAAGAAAGGAGGGAAAAAGGAGGGAAAGGGGAAAATAAAACAAGATGAAGAGAGAAGGAAAAAACTGAGATCAGATAGGTGAGATTCTGCACAAGAAGGTAGGACTTCAGTGCTCATCACATTTCCTTTTGAGATTTAGGACACTAGGGGTACGTCTAAACTACATGGCTCCGTCGATGGAGCCATGTAGATTTGTTGTTTTGGCAAAGGTAAATGAAGCCACGATTTAAATGATCGCGGCTTCATTTACATTTACATGGCTGCTGCGCTGAGCCGACAAACAGCTGATCAGCTGTTTGTCTGCTCAGCGTGCTAGTCTGGACGCTCCCCTGCCGACATCAAAGCCCTTTGTCGGCAGCCCCGGTAAACCTCATCCCACGAGGAATAACTTTTTCATGAGTCTGTAGAAATAATTCAGCCTTTCTATAAACCATATATGATGTCTCTGAAGTTACAAAAACAATGCAAGGGCCTACCCCCGTGTGTGTGTGTTGTTTCAGGATCAAGGGGAGCGTCCAGACTAGCGCACTGAGTGGACAAACAGCTGATCAGCTGTTTGTCGGCTCAGCGCGGCAGCCATGTAAATGTAAATGAAGCCGCGATCATTTAAATCGTGGCTTCATTTACCTTTGCCTATGTGTCTAATCTACATGCCTCTGACGACAGAGGCATGTAGTCTAGACACAGCCTAGCAGAACTCCTAGTCCTTTCTTCCCAGTATAGCATCTCTGATGCAGCTCTGAAGTACAACATAGCTGTACTCAATACCTTCCTACTCATCCTGTTTGTCAGCTCCTCTCCTGGGTCCTTACAGGTATAACCTCCTAAAAGAAAGGGCAGAGAGCAGATTGATGAAGGAAAGAACCCCTCACTTCAACTCCGCGATATCTACCTGAGTCAGAGAAGGAAATGGTGATATGAACAGTGTTCAAGCATAACTTCCTCTTCTCAAATAGATGACATTGCTGCTCCACTACCCAGGCCTCATCACCCCACCCCACTGATACCTCAAAAACATTCACTCTCTCTCTCACATACACAGGTGTCTTCTCTCCTTCCTTCATGAGATTCAGTACAGTGGCTTTTACTACTTGAAATGGGAGATGTCTCCGCTGACATATAAAATAAGCCTTTGAAAATAACTTGTTTCCTAGAATCACTCTGGACAGTAATTCCATGCTTTAATAATAGATTACCAGCCACCTAACCAGGATGGTGATAGTGACTGTGAAATGTTAAGGGAGACTAGAGAGGCTATAAAAATAAAAACCTCAATAATAGTGGGGTATTTCAACTATTCCCATATTGCTTGGCTCAGTACTTTTTTTTTTTGGTTTAAAAAAAAAAAAAGATGCCAGTACACCAGGGGAAAAAAGCAGCAGTGGGGCCGGCATTGCCTTTTAAGACACACAGCCCAGACAGCCATTTTCATTACAGAGGTGCAGGTACGCTCCGTTCTTTCCAGGAAAGCTCTGACTGGAGATGCTGGTACTGTGTACCAGGCAGTACCATCACAAAAAATGCACTGGCTTGGGTACATGTCATCTCAGGACTGAATGCAGTGAAAGTTTCTTGACACCTTAAATGACTGGAGCAGCTGGTTCTGGAACCCACAAGAGGAAAGACAATTCTTGATTGAGTCCTAAGTGGAGAACAGGATCTGGTCCAAGACATGAATATAGCTGGACTGCTTGAAAATAGTGACCATAATATAATTTTAACATCCCTTTGGCGGGAAAAACATCACAGCAGTCCAACACCATAGCATTTACATTCAGAAAGGGGAACTACACAAAAATGAGGCGGTTAGGTAAACATAAATTAAAAGGTCCAGCACCAAAAGTGAAATCCTTGCAAGGTGCATGGAAACTTTTCAAAGACACAATAATAGAGGCTCAACTTAAATGTATATCCCAAATTTAAAAAATACAGAGAATAAAAAAGTGTCACTGTGGCTTAACAACCAAGTAAAAGACCCAGTGAGAGACAAAAAAGACATTGCTAAAAAAAAATGGAAGTTAAATCCTAGTGAAGAAAATAGAAAGAATCATAAACTCTGTCAAATGCAGTGTAAAAATATAATTAGGAAGGCCAAAAAGGAATCTGAAGAGCAGCTCTCCAAAAACTCAAAAAGTAATAGCAATTTTTTTTATGTACATCAGCAGCAGGAAGCCTGCAAAGCAACCAGTTTTGGTCCCTGGATGATCGAGATGCTAAAGGAGCACTCAAGGATGAAACTACGTGAATTCTTTGCATCTGTCTTCACGTCTGAGGTCATGAGGGAGATTCCTAAACCTGGACATTCTTTTTAGGTGACATATCTGAGGAATGTGTCATTATAGGAAAAGACTGACATGTCGTTAGAGAAGTTTTGGAACAAATTGATAACCTAAACAGTAATATGTCCCCAGGACCAGATAGCATTCATCCAACCATTCCAAAAGAACTCAAATGTGAAATTGAAGAACTACTAATTGTGGTTTGTAACCTAGTCTTTAAATTATATTCTGTACCAAATGACTGGCGGATAGCTAATGTGACACCAATTTTCAAAAAGGGCTCTAGAGGTCGTTCTGGCAATTACAGTGTAACTTCAGTACCAGTGTACATCAGCAGCAGGAAGCCTGCAAAGCAACCAGTTTTGGTCCCTGGATGATCGAGATGCTAAAGGAGCACTCAAGGATGAAACTACGTGAATTCTTTGCATCTGTCTTCACGTCTGAGGTCATGAGGGAGATTCCTAAACCTGGACATTCTTTTTAGGTGACATATCTGAGGAATGTGTCATTATAGGAAAAGACTGACATGTCGTTAGAGAAGTTTTGGAACAAATTGATAACCTAAACAGTAATATGTCCCCAGGACCAGATAGCATTCATCCAACCATTCCAAAAGAACTCAAATGTGAAATTGAAGAACTACTAATTGTGGTTTGTAACCTAGTCTTTAAATTATATTCTGTACCAAATGACTGGCGGATAGCTAATGTGACACCAATTTTCAAAAAGGGCTCTAGAGGTCGTTCTGGCAATTACAGTGTAACTTCAGTACCAGGCAAATTGATTGAAACTATATTAAAGAACAGAATTGTCAGACACATAATTTGTTGGGAAAAGTCAACAAGGGTTTCTGTAAAGGGGAATCATACCTCACCCATCTACTAGAATTCTTTGAGGGGGTCAACAAGCATGTGGACAAGGGGTATCCAGTGGATATAGGCTCTTAAGTAAACTGTCATGGGATAAGAGGGAAGGTATTCTAATAGGTTGACAACTGGTTAAAAGATAGGGGGGAAAGGGTAGAAATATATGGTCTGTTTTCAGAACTGAGAGAGATGTTGTCTGTACTGGGACCAATAATATTCAACATATTCATAAATGATCTGGAGAAAGGGGTAAATAGTGGGGTGGCTAAATATGCAGATTATACAAAACTGCTAAAGATAGTTAAGTCCAAAGCAGACTGTGAGGAGTTTCAAAAGCATCTCACAAAACTAGGTGACTAGGCAACAAAATGGCAGATGAACTTTAAAATTGATAAGTGCAAAATAATGTACATTGGAAAACATAATCCCAACTATGGGGACTAAATTAGCTATTACAACTCAACTATTGAAGAGAGAGATCTTACAGTCATTGTGGATAGTCTCTGAAAACATCCACTCAATGTGCAGCAGTAGTAAAAAAAACCCAAACAGAATATTAGGAAAACATTAAAACAGAGACTATCTTAGTGCCTCTAGATAAATCCATGGGTATGTCTAGACTACATGTCTCCGTCGATGGAGCCATGTAGATGAGTTTACTAGACATAGCAAAATGAAGCGGCAATTTAAATAATCGCCGCTTCATTTATATCAAAATGGCCACTGTGCTGTGCCAACGATCAGCTGATTGGCACAGCAGGGCAGTCTAGAGGTGCCGCGGTTGACAAGGGAAGCCTTTGTCGACCGCTCCGGTAAACCTTGTTTCACGAGGCATAACGAAGCGGTCAACAAAGGCTTCCCTTGTCGACTGTGGAGTATCCAGACTGCCCCGCTGTGCAGATCAGCTGATCATCAGCACAGCGCGGCGGCCATTTTGATGTAAATGAAGCGGCGATTATTTAAATTGCCGCTTCATTTTGCTATGTCTAGTAAACTCATCTACATGGCTCCATCGACGGAGACATGTAGTCTAGACATACCCATGGATTTATCTAGAGGCACTAAGATAGTCTCTGTTTTAATGTTTTCCTAATATTCTGTTTGGGTTTTTTTTACTACTGCTGCACATTGAGTGGATGTTTTCAGAGACTATCCACAATGACTGTAAGATCTCTCTCTTCAATAGTTGAGTTGTAATAGCTAATTTAGTCCCCATAGTTGGGATTATGTTTTCCAATGTACATTATTTTGCACTTATCTAGGAAAAAGTTTGAAAAAAGGGCAGCAAAGGAGGTATGGAAGGGATGCCATATGAAGAGAGATCAATAAGACTGTATTTTTCAGCTTGAAAAAGAGGAGACTAAGGAGTGATATGATAGAGTTCTATAAAATCATGACTGGTGTGGCAAAAGTGAATAAGGAAGAGTTATGTACTCCTTCCTGTTACACAGAAACTAGGAGTCACCAAATAAAATTATTAGGTAGCAGGCTTAAAACAAACAAAAGGATGTACTTCTTCATACAAGCACAGTCAACCTGTGAAACTCCTTGCCAGAGGACGTTGTGAATTCCAAGACTATAGCAGGGTTCAAACAAGAGCTCGATAAATTCATGGAGGAAAGGTCCATCAGTGGCTATTAGCCAGGATGGGCAGGGATGGTGTCCCTAGCCTCTGTTTGCCAGAAGCTGGGAATGGGCAACAGGAGAGGGATCACTTGATGTTCATTCCCTCTGGGGCCCTTGGTATTGGCCACTGTTGGAAGATAGGATACTGGGCTAAATGCACC